TGCTCTAAATCCTCCTTCTCTCACCCAAGTCCATTTCCATTCTGCTTCGAGGAGGGTGTTCTTTTACTGATCTTTCCCTGCTCCATTCCATTAATCTCCAGACAACTATTTCCCCTAATTGACATCTTTCAGGTTTCTGGAAGAGAATTCTGGTCAGACCCTGTCCCTAGCAGGCTTCTGAATCAAAATGGCTGTGATCCTGAATATCTATGACTGAATAGAATAGAATAGAATAGAATAGAATAGAATAGCAGTGTTGGAAATGACCTTGGAGCTCTTCTAGTCCAACCCCCTCCTTAGGCAGGAAACCTTACACCACTTCAGACAAATGGTTATCCAACATCTTCTTTAAAACATCCAGTGTTGGAGCATTCACAACTTCTGAAGGCAAGCTGTTCCACTGATTAATTGTTCTAACTGTCAGGAAATTTCTCCTCGGTTCTAAGTTGCTTTTCTCCTTGATTAGTTTCCACCCATTGCTTCTACCCTCAAAATACTTCTTTTTAATTCTTTCTAAGCAAGGTTTGAATTTTGCCTTGGCTCCGGAAAAGGCTTTATTTTGTCAGGTGATCTGTCACTTTTCCTCCCTCACCCTAAAGCTGGTCTTACTGGTCTTACCCAAGCAAAGGTTGAGAATGAAGGGTCCTTGGTGTTCTCTGAGCTTGGTTGTTTTCTTGCCGTTGTTTCATTGTCCAAATTAAGTAATATCAGTGCTAGCGATGAGAAGCCCAGTCTATCCCTGATCAGGGAAAAGGTATCTGGATGGCCCCGTCTAGCCAAAGGCACAATGCCTGCATCTTCTTTAAAAGAACAGGGGGAAAGAACTGGCAGCCTCTCAAATTTCGTCACCCTCCCTCATCCATTTGTCTTGACTCTGATAAAGTCCCAGAGCCCTGGGCCACATCATCAGCTAGGCCAGGGCTCCGATCCAAGAAGAACAAACCTGGAACCTCAACCAAGCGGAGAAGCAGCAGGGCCAGTGTAGTGGCATTAAGGCAAGGAGGGAGTGGTGTTTCAAAGATCACTGTCAGGGATTAATTCTGAGCCAAGCAGAGCCCAAGGTTATAAAGTTGTCTGTCTTCAACATGTGTCATCAATTCAGCAGTCGTGTGTGACATCTCTCAGGTAAGAGAGGGCAATCTCTACGTTTCCTGAGAAAAGGCAGAGCTGTAATGAACAGATAAATAAGCAGAAAATTGATAGTTCTGTTGGGGTAGTTGAGATAGTGGTAAAGAGCTGAGATTGAGGTAAGAATTTAGTAACTCTTTGAAGGTTGAAAATTATTTTCCTTTGAGTTTAGTTACAGAAATGTTAAAAGTTAATGCTATAAACCAGAACTTTTTGGCCACCTGTCCGAAGAGTTGGGATTGACTCTAAAGCTTACTGTGGTGCATACTTATGTTGAATGTTGTATGAATGGGATACATAAAATATTGCAATATTTGTAGCATGCCATAATCCCAGATGCTCCATCATTCCTGCTCCCTTTCCCATTTTATTTCTAGGCTTCCCTTGTCAGTTTTAATCACCGTTCCTGGCTTGCCAAGAATGGTTGTTCCACTTGTCATAGGCTACTTTTCCTAAATATCGGTTTTTCCTTTTGCAACTACTATATTATTTAATTAGTTCCTGAACGAGGTGTGGGGAGTAAAATAGGATCTTCCTTAATTGCTGTTTAGCAATCTCAGTGAATTATAGGGAGAGAGTGCATGTTGAGTATACATTTCTCCCTTGGTAGCTAACGCCTTTCCCACTTTTTGTAATAAGGATAACCTTGGTGAAGCCCCCAGAGCAACCTGATAAAGAGTAATTGAAGTGTGATTGTTGCTTCTGACAGCATGCAAATGTCTGCATTTTTGTGAATGCAGTTACATAGGTTTTGAAGAAAGGAGTTTGTTGATTTGCACTCATATTTAAGAGAATTAAAAGCCATCCTCAACTATTTTTAGTGAGAAAGCATAAAATCTTTTTTTTTCCCCTCCTCTGGGAAAAAAAGAACAAAGATTGATAGCAGATTTTTCTACTCTTGACTGATAATTATCATGGGAAAAACCAAAGGAGAGGGAAATCCCTTCATCAAACCATCTTCTCTTCCTTTTGACATTTTTACTGATGCTACTATCATATTGCTCTTGAAGATAACAGAGGTTAGGCTACAAAGAGTCTGAAAACATGTTTGAGCCATTGACCCACTCATGTCCCAAATGTCCTTCATCACGTTCTGGAACATCCTTGCATAGAGAGGACTGAGCTGGGAAGTTTAAACTTACCAGGGTGTAACTTTGAAATGCTCATCTCCTGATGCCATCCAGGAGATGGTGGCTTCTCTACCCCACACCATAGTAGCTAATTGGAATTACTATGGCTAACTATGACTATGACTACACGGTGGCTTGGTGGCTAAGATGCTGAGCTTGTCAATCAGAAAGATTGACAGTTCGACGGTTCGAATCCCTAGTGCCGAGTAACACTCCCGTTACTTGTCCCAGTTGTCTGTCAACTTAGCAAGACGTACTTTTGGGGAGGGGTTTGCCTAATGCTTGCATTTGAAAGATATGTTTTGCCCTTTTTAATATTCAAAATGGTTTTTCTCCCCTGAGTTCTATGGTGTTTAATCATATTGAGTGTCCCTTTCTGGTTGCTGGAACTGGTCAAACTCCACATATTTGCAGGGATGCATATCTAATGCAGCTCAGTTTGGAAGGTAATAATTAATGAGATCAGAATATTAACTGAGACCCTACTTAGGATCCAAGGGATGCGGTGGCTCATGGCTAAGACGATGAGTTTGTCGATCAAAAAGGTCGGCAGTTTAGTGGTTCGAATCACCAGCGCCACATAATGGAGTGAGCTCCCATCACTTCTTCCAGCTTCTGCCAACCTAGCAGCTCGAAAGCACATAAATTAAAATGCAAGTAGAAAAATAGGAACCACCTTTGGTGGGAAGGTAACATAAACAGATACCACCTATAAACAAACAAATAAAAATAACATATTGTACTTTCCTTTTTATGATCTTTCATAGTCCAAGTGAGCTCTGTGGAACACAAGAGTTGGTAGTTAAGCTTTATAGGAAGAAAAATTGCAGGGTCCCTAAATTGCAATTTACAGATCAGATTTCTGTAAAACAATAAAATAAAGGACATGGACGGACAGGGGGGGTGGGAAAGCAAGGAGAAGATACATCACCCCAGCTGGGCAGAGTGTCCATTGGGTGAGGGAAAGGTTGCAGTGACTGTTCAGGAAAGAGGCGTGGGTGTGGGCCAAGCAGTACAGCCAGTTGGAGGTGAGGCTGTCGCTAGAATAGAACAAAGCCTGTTTTTCTTCTGAAGGGTTTGAGACAGCTGGGGTCAGCCAAGGCTAGTTTTGAATCAGAGCTGGAAAGCACAAGACAGGGGCATTTGCCCTGAGCTGGAGATGGGAGAATGATGACATCATCCTTTCTTGGACTTAGGGAGCGATAAGTGGTTTCTACTGGCAATGGGCCAAGCAGCAAGCATGGCTCAGCCCTCCCTCTTCTTTCCTTTTTAAAAACCTTTCTTCTCCGAAGCCATTTCATTTATATAACTACTTGGATATCTACCAGTTGCTTTAAACCATATCTCAGGATTTTAAAACGTCAGGTTCTATTTTTTTGTTTAATGAGCCCTTTATTTAAAAAATTCAAGGATACTGGTTTCAATTTTTCCCCCCAAACCAGCAGATCATGTTTATTATGCATTTTATTCCTTTGCTTAAATTATATTGCAACGCAAACTCTAGTTGTTTAAAGGTAAAATTTAAGAATAGAAAATGACCAATTTTTTTAAATCACATTTTTATTCTGTGTTAAAAACACGTGGCGTCATTAAACCCGTGGGTTTGTTAAAACACGTGGCTGTGTAAACACAAACACACATACATGCGGTAGCTACAATAGGTAACACCAGTCATTGCTAAATTAATGTCAACCTCACAGGCTCCACTCACTTCAACCTCCAAGTTTTTATGGTTTTCTGAGAAGCCAGAACGTTTGGAGCCAACCAAATCTTGGTAGATCCACCTCTGGAACATTAGTATTGATGGCGCTTCTTCTTCTCTTCCTAGTCCCAAGGCTGAACCCCAAAACAGGTAGGCTTGCTGAGGTGGGCATGGAGGCAAATGGAGAGACAGGTCACTCCAATGCAGAAACTGCAGGTGAAGTCCTGAGTGAGTCTGAGCTAGAGAAGATCGGCCTGAGAAAACAGATTTTACGGTTTTCACTTTCTACTCAGATCAGGAAAATAAGGTAAAGTATTGCTAATCCATACTTGTAGCGTGAAAAATCAGGAAAGCATGTTTTAGATTATGAAAAGATGACTGAGGAAGGGCCTTGGGGAACATGTTGCTTCTGAATGGCAGATGCTTGGAGGGAAATGATGACAGAATACAGGTGGTCCTTGACTTACAACAGTCCGTTTAGTGACTGTTCAAAGTTACAACGACACTGAAAAAAGTGACATGATCATTTTTCATACTTACGGCCGTTATACCATTATGTGATCAAAATTTGGACACTTGGCAACTGAGTCATATTTATGATGATGGTCACAGTATCCTGGGATCAGGTGATCACCTCTTGCAACCAAAGTCACTGGGGAAGTCAGATTCACTTAACAACTGTGTTANACGTGGGTGTACCGAGGTGCACCCACCATCGCTCACGCGGCTGCATTCTGGACAAGCTGAAGTCTCCGAATACTCTTCAAGGGCAGCCCAGATAGCACAGATGGAAGATGAGACAGCAGGAGCTTCAAAGTACCTTGTCATCCCCTCCCCCCTTAAATTTGGCAACACCTAAACATAATACTGAATAGTACATCTCTATTAACAAATTTTGCTGCACGTATTTATTTATATGCCCAATTGATTTATGCTTGTTGTATCATGTTATGTTTATTAACACGTCTAAGAAAATAGACATTCTTTCCAAAATCTTTTGAACCAGAAGAAGAGATGAAACCTTGGATTTCTTCCTGCAGGTCCATTTGCTGTCATTTCAGTCATGTTAGGAAGTATGACAGAGTCACTAGAACCAAATGGAAAATACCTGGAAGTGATCAGTGGCACCAATAAAACATTTGTCAATGAGATCAGGAGGGATGCAGCCCGAGTAGAGCTGGTAACTGCAGTCACCTGCTTAATGGGTCTATTCCAGGTAAGAGGGAGATAAACATGCAGTAAAAACCTGGTGGTGTAAGCTGAATCAATACCTAAAATCTGAAAGTAAGAAATATTGAATTTGTTTTGGTACTAATGCTGAAAATGTCGGCATTTCATTAGGCAGGGTGGCAGTAGCTGAAGTTAATTTGGACAGTGACACAGGTACATTGGAAGGCAGTTATTTGCAGAGCAAATTAACAGGAGATGAGGGAGTCAACAGGAAGAAAAGAGAAGAATGAATAGGCAAGATATATGATGAAAATGCAGAGAATTGTGAGGAATGAAACATACCATCTCCTGAATAGTTAATAAGTGCGTGTTCTAAGAGCTGCTGATTGCCCATTGTGGGTGACTGAGTAGTGGGTAGGTGCTTTCTGCTAAGTAAGCAGTCTGAATTAATAAATAGCTTGATCCCAGGGAACGCACTGGCTTCCAAATTAACGAAACTTTGCTTACCTGCTTAGCAAAGGTTAAGCATTTGATGTACTTTCTGGGTCATTAGCTTTCTTTTTTAAAAAAAATATTATTTTATTTTAATACAAACAATCCATCTTCCATTAAACAGTGTGTCATCTGGTACAAATATCTTGTGCAATAACATTTAGAATTTACAACCATACTCATTGTTCATCTGCTCATGACTTAATACTGATATACATAACATATCTGATACTATAACAATCCTCTTCTTGAATTATTTAATTCTATTAATATATTTTCTATATTTCACTAATCTACTTTCATTTCTAACTTACATATTTGTTCTCTAACCATCAATAAAATAGTTCCCGCAAGCTATAATATTTGGTTTGCTCCTTCTCTTTAATTGCAAGTGTTAACCTATTCATTTCTGCACATTCTAACATTTTCCTGATCACATTCTCATTTGTAGGAATCTCTTCACTTTTCCAGTGTCATTAGCTTTCTAAGCTAATGATGTGTTAAGAAAAATGCGCTCGAAAATCCCAAGGGAGTTTCGGTTTCGGCAGATGTAACTTTACCAATGATCTGTTTTTAGGTTGCCCTTGGCCTGCTGCAGTTTGGATTTGTGGCCACCTATCTTTCAGAGCCCTTGGTGCGAGGCTATACCACAGCTGCTGCGATCCATGTGCTGGTTTCCCAGCTAAAGTATGTCTTTGGAATCAGCCTGGAAGAGAAATCTGGACCATTGTCAATGATCTATGTAAGTACAAGTAGATACACAGAAGTTGTGTTTCATCAGTATTCTTGTGTCTCCAAATTATGACTTCTCTATCTTGCTTTTTCCCACAGACATTTGTGGAGATTTGCTCAAAATTACCTGGCACTCACACTGGTACTATGGTCACTGCCTTGATCTCCATGGTTGTCCTTTTGCTCATCAAGCTACTCAATCAGAAATTTGATAAGAAGCTTCCAGCACCTATCCCCATTGAACTTCTCACGGTAATTTGTTTCTCGATGTTCTAAGATCAATGGCTTGCTTGTTGTTTTCCCCCTAAAATGACAATGGAACAAAATACAACCAGCAGTGCAGAAGTCTTGACATAATCTGTTAAATCTGTTAAAATTACAAGAAAAAACTAACTAGCGTAATACCTACCAAATACCCTTTGGGAATAATGTTTGGGTGAGATGAGTTTTTAATTGTTTTTTTTTAAAGAGCAATCATTGGAAGGAATTTGTTTCCAAGCAATTATTGGAAGGAATTAGAATTAGCTTCATCCCTTCTATTACATTGTGGTAGAGAGAAATAAGAATTGTATCCTGTTTCCTAGGAAAAAATATACTCTTTTAATTGAAATGATGATTTTATTTTTTAAAGAAAGGCAGGAGAAATTGAAAGAGTTGGAAACAGAGTTTAGAGAGCTGGTTCTTAAAATTTAGGTCTCAATTCCTGAGCATTCAACTATACTTGATTTTAGCCAAAAGGCCAAGGATTTTGATGACCTGTCATCTTGTTGAACTGTCTGTTACTAAAAATAAGAGACCGATGGTTAATTACTTTGATAATAGCAATAACGCTTAAACTTATATACCACTTCATAGTGCTTTTACAGCCCTCTCTAAGTGGTTTACAGAGTCAGCATATTGACCCCAACAATTTGGGTCCTCATTTTACCCACCTTGGAAGGATGGAAGGCTGAGTCAACCTTGAGTCTGGTGAGATTCGATCTGCCAAATTGCAGGCAGCCAGCAGTCAGCAGAAATAGCCTGCAGTACTGCACTCTAACCACTGTACCACCACAGCTCATAATATCATTTAGTTTACCGGTAGGTAATTTTTTTCTTTTAAAAATATCTCTATATGAGATTTTAAGTTGCCGAAGGATATGTTTTTAATTATACACACTGCTGCTTTATTGTTGCTATGATTCATCACACCATCAGCCGGTTGTTCAGACTGGATTTGGTATTTTTGTCCACCTATTGAGTCTTTCCCAAAGACGCGGGATAGGCAGATGTATATGTTTGATGGGGTTACAGATATCATGGCAGGCTATAAGGTGTTCTGAGCAAAAGTCTCAATGCCAATAATGTTTTGCTGTTGTTATTCTTGTAACACAATAGGATTGTGTTTGATTTTTTCATAACAACAATTGACCAATTTATACACTCTTTCGAAAAGAATCTAAGATTAAAACGAAATGAAACGAAATAAAAACTAAGCAAAACTGGGAGATTTTGCAAACTGAGAGATCACTGCAATGCCTCTCTTGTCAGCAGTCATTGACGCTCCATTTCTGAGACCAAAAAGAAAAGGGTTAGAGTGCTGCAATGAGTCTCCTCCGCTCTTATTATGCATCTGAGGAAAGCTTAGCTCAACCTTCCCCAATCTAATGGCCTTTAGAGATATTCATGCTAGCTGGCATTTGGGAAATTCTGGCCCAATAGATAAGAATGAGGCCATCACATTAGAGACATTGCAACCTATTAAATTCCTTCGTTTGGGCCCTTCCTGAGCAGCATTAAATTACCAAAGAATATTTTTCCTACTGCCTTCTTTTTTCAGATTATTGTCTCCACTGGAATCTGCTATGGTGCCAGCCTGAGCAACAAATTTGGGATTAGTGTTGTGGGCGATATTCCCAAAGGGTAAGTGTTCTTGGCTGCTTCCACAAATCCATTGGTTTCAGACAGGGATGGGCTTCAAAGATTTCAGCAACAGGTTGCTGGATGGGTGTGGCCATGGTGGGCATGGCCTAGTCAGCCTCTTGCACCATGGCACAAAGCCTCTGGGAGGGTGAAAACTGCTTTCCCCAGGCTTCAGAGGCCCTCCGGAGGCCGGAAATTGGCCCGTTTCTGGCCTTTCTGAACTTCCGGGAGGCCCATTTTNAAACCCCAGGGGTGTTCAAACTTGACAGCTTTAAGACTTGTGGACTTCAACTCCCAGAATTCCTCCTCTCGCTCTTCATCTTGATAATGTGCAGACGAGTGGGGGAAGGGAGCTGGAACCAGTTCTAAACGGCACTGTAGATTTGTGGAACCTCTTCTATAGAAGAGGTTAGAACTGGCAGGAACCCACCCCTGGAGTATCCATATGGGTAAGGTGACCAGACGTCCCGATTTTCGTGGGAAAGGCACGCTTTCGCACAATTTGTCCCGTGTCCCGGTGCGTTCTTAAAAAATCCCAATTTTTGTGACCCGAAGTAAGCCTCCCCCGCCCCAGCCCTGTATACCCCTCCCAACCGGCCGGTATTTTGTCCCTTCTGTCTCCCCATTGCTCAGAAAAGCAACTCTGGGAAGGTCCTTTGCTAGCAGGCCTCCAAAAAGAATGGGCGCGGGCACAAGGGCGGGGGCGGGAACTTAGGCAGCGCGGCCGGTGTCTTTGACATGTTCGGGACCTGCTGTTCTCCAAAGTCCTTGGCCAGAGAAAGGGAGGAACCTGAAGAACCCGCCACCTTTGCTCGGCTGTGCAGGGCGGGCCCGAAGCGTCGCTTCGCCCAGGCTTTGCTGCTTTTTGAGCCTCGGTCCAAGGACAGTGGCAGCGGCGGTGGGAAGGGCATGCTGCAGGGGGATGGTGGCGGCTAAGGGAAGTGAGGATGCTGCGAAGCAGGAGCGGGCGGGAGAGAGAAATCCTGGAGGAGAGGGTGACTTGCCAGTTAGCATCGAGCAGGCAAAAAAATCGGCCTTTTGCCCAGCAGGAAACCTGCCGGGATTGCCGTGCAAAGTGTAACTTGCTGCTCCCAATCCGGGGTTTTTGGCTGAAGCCAGGTGCTCCGAAACGAGTTTCTCCTCCTAAGATCTCTAAGTGGATTGTTAATATGTAGCTAGTTAGTTGCGGCTTCCGATGATCAAGTTTGGCAAAGACTCCGCAGGTTCATTTTTGATTTTGACAGCTGAGGTGCCGTTCACTCAACATCATTTCCACAACTCCTTGATGATCCTTTTGGGGGGTGGGGTGGGGGTTGTGAATGCTTTCTTTTTGTGGCACCTCAGTGCAGCTCAGAAAGCAGCAAAGATCCCACTATCCCCCACCTCCTCTTTCTCCCTCTCTTTCTCTTTTTGGGGGCAAGGAGGAGGAAGGACAAAAAGGAGAAAGAAAGAGGAGGTGGGGGATAGTGGGATATTAAAAATTGTCCAAAAGCAACTGACAATTTCCATACTACTGCTAAGAAAATTACGACNTAGGCCATGTGGAGACTCCTGGGAGGGGTGGAGGGGCCAGCCAGGGGTGCAATTTGGAGGTTATTGGAACCGGACATAACATTAGCTATGGGTTCTCCTGAACCCGGGCGAACCCATAGTAAGCCACTTATGATCTCAGAGCCATAATATGCCACATTAATTGGTTTCAAAACTGACAGAGGTCTCATTTGGACTGCACGAATTGAAGTTTCCCTTCCTGTTTGGTTAATACTCCTCTTCCCACCCCAGCCCTGGGAAATCGTCTGTTCCTCTCTTCTTTTGCCTTGTGATACCTGTACAGTAGTGTTGCCTTGTGGCATCTATGTTTCTTTATTGTAGTTTGAGATCTCCTGAAGTCCCCAATGGAAGCTATTTTGGGCAGGTGATAGGGAATGCTTTTGCCATTGCTATTATTAGCTATGTCCTTTGCATCTCCCTTGGGAAAATCTTCGCACTCAAGCACGGTTATAGTGTGGACAGCAACCAAGTAAGGCATTTGTTATGGGTTCCTTATCTTGGCTTCCTGGCTCCCCTTTCCTCTTTGCCTTGACTTTATTTTCTCTCTTGATTGCCTTGTCCACTGTCTATCTACTCTACTCCTGTTGCAGGTAGTCCTCAACTTACAACCGTTGCTTAGCAATGATTCAAAGTTATGAAGAACCCTCCCAAGAATACTAGTCGCCCAGCTCTGAAATCCCATTGGCTGTTCCCACCTCACCTACTCCACAGTACCATGACTGAAGGTCAGGCGCTTAGCAACTGGCCTGCATTTATGGTTATTTGCAACATCCTGCATTCGCATGACCACATTTTATGATGGTTTTGCCAAAACCTGGCATTTACTTCAGGTTTTCAGCCAAACTGCTCCGTAACAAACCATCGATTCACTTAACAATTGCGGTGCTTGCTTAACACGTGCAGTGAACTGTTTTGTGACTGCCGTTCAATTAACAACCGCCACAAAAAAGGTTGTAAAATCAGATTAGTCACGTGGGTGACCTGTGTTATAACTGTTACGACTTACGACTTTAATGGGCAGGCTTCATAATCGTCCTAAGTCGAGAACTACCTGTACTCTACTTCTAAGTCAAAGGATGGGCATGCAGCCTCCTCCAAACTTTTTTCCCCCTCTCCAAATAAAGAAACATACATTGAGCTCTTCTCAAATCTCTTGCAGGAACTGATAGCCCTGGGGCTCAGTAACATCACTGGTAGCTTTTTCCATTGCTACAGCATCAGCTGCTCCATGTCCCGTTCCCTAGTACAAGAAAGCACAGGAGGACACAGCCAGGTAAAGCCCAGATAAGCCTGTAGCCTTTTTCTGATAGGAGGAAGGAATTGTGAAGAAGTTGGAATCGATCAAATGGTTGGATAGCAGAACAGACCTGCAGAGAACTCAGTGAGAACTAATTTAAAGGGATAGATAAGATCACACTTTCTTCACTGATGAATGATGTGGTACAGTTAGCTTTAGAAATTACATCAATTACTCTTGCTGTGAACTGAGGGTGGGCTTGTTTATCCCTAGAAGATAATTTTATTTATATTATGAAATATAATTTTAAAAATACATTTAGGCTATTTTTTAGTGTTTAGTGCTTGACTGGGCCATGTATCTGTCCACAAATATTAAGTAGCCTTGAGTATGCTACTAGAATTAGCATGGAGTTCAAAATTTTGTTTCATCACTATTCTCTTTGAATGCATGAGACAAATAACTTATTGAGGGCTGTTTGGCTTCCTGCTTAAAAAAAAAAAAACAGTGTCCACCATGACCACAAAAGTGGGCAGTTTTCTACACCTAATGTTTCTAGATCTTTTTGCACTATGACTCCCTCTATCTCCAGACTGCTCAGATAGTTGAAGTGATAGGAAATAGAGCTCAAGACTAAGTAAACAGTAAAAGTAAATACGTCTAGAACTGAGACAGACATCCATTGACTGTGGATAAATATATGCAGTTTTCTGATAATGATATGGAAAGAGTTTGCCATTTACTTCCTTTTGTCTTTTTACTTTCCAGTTATAGTATCATAAATTGTGAGATTTAGAAAGTACTTTTGGAGATCATCTCGTCCAACTTCCTGCCCAGTGCAGGAATCAATTATTTCAGCATCCCCTTAAGTTGGCCATCTCATCCCTTTTAAAATCCCCATCAAAAGAGAGTCTACTGCCTCTCAAGTCAGTCTCTTCCACTGTTGGCTCTCACTAAATGATATCAGTCTCTTCCACTGTTGGCTCTCACTAAATGATATCAGTCTCTTCCACTGTTGGCTCTCACTAAATGATGTCCAACTAAATCGCATTTTAAACCTATTCTTTCTTTTCCCGTCTTAAGAAACATCTCCGAACAATTCTGCCCTGTATGCTACATGACAGCTCTTCTGATACTTGAACTCCTCTTGCAGCCTTCTCTTCTCCAGACTAAACACACCCATTGCCTCCAACCATTCCTCACAAGTTGTTTCTTCCGAGACCCTGATCATCATGATTGCTCTCTTTTAGACTCACTTCAGTTGTCCAAATACCTCCTAAAATGCAGTATCTAGAACTGGATGCAACATTCTCATTGGAGATGCCAATATTCCATCCAAAATATTCTAGTTTACAGTCTACCCAAAACAGAGTAGAGAGGGTGGATTTCTCCACATTTTCACATTCACTGATGCAGCCTAATATTGATGTGTGCGTGTGTGTTTGCACCTACACCACACTATTTGTTTACATTCAGATTGTGATAAATTCAAATCATCTCTCATGTAGCACTGTCCACTGTGTGGTCCCCCTATCCTATATTTATTCCCAAGACATTTTCTACCAGAATGCAACACTTTGTTATCAGCTATGCTGATAATCATCTTTCTGCCCAGCTTGTCAAGGATCGCCCACATGATCTCCTAAAGGGTTTGTTATTCTCTCTAATTTTGCATCTTCTGCAAATTTTACAATCTTTTTAAATCTCTTCATACAACTCATTTTTAAATATATGGGTCAGTACCAGGCCTAAAATGAAGCTTGCAGTACACTACTTGACACTTTTGTGTATCTAGTTTGATTTTTTAAAAATCATTCACATATGCTTATTAACTACGATTTTTGAGTCACTTCTATATTCCTCTAATAGTAGTATAGTCCAGTCTGCTTTGCTAGAATCGCATGGGTTTCAAATACTTTGCAGACATCAAAACATGGCAATATCCTAAACCGGTCTCTCTGTAAAAAAGGGAAATCACATTGGATGGGCCTGACTTGTTCCTGATAAACCTGCACTGCCAAGCAAGACATTGTCTTGTGAATCCTCACAAACTGTCTAATAGTCTGTTCCAATGTTTTGCTCAGTATCATTCTGACCAATCAGTCGTTACCCAGGTTCTTTTTCCTCTTTTGACAGTTCTAAAACTTTCTGGGGTCTCCCATCCATGTAATAACCAGGCCTGCCACTGCTTAGTTTTGGGACCTAAAGTCAGCCAAGTGCTACCATCTGCTGTCTTTAAAACCTGATAAGCTGAAGCTGGAGGAAAGTAAAATTTGAGGTTATTTTCTTGCTATGTTAAGCCTGCTTTGTAGTCAGTGGTTCAGAGGTGGGTTCCTACCAGTTCGCACCTATTCGGTAGAACCGGTTCGTCAAATCTACCGAATCGGTTAGAAGAGGTTCCATCAGTGGACCCGGAAAGCAGGCCACNGACATAGCGGCAGGGCTTTTGGACATAGCAGCAGGGCTTTGGGACATAGCGGCAGGGCTTTTGGATGCCCCAGTGCTATGTCCGACATAGAAGCGGGATGCCTCTATGTCAGACATAGCGGCAGGGCGGCTTTTGCCTCTAGCACGGGGGCGGCAGGGCGGCTTTTGCCTGCTTTCAAGAAAGCTTTCTTGAAAGCGGGCAAAAGCCGCCCCACCACCCCAGCGCTATGTCCAACATAGAGGCGGGATGCCTCTATGTCGGACATGGTGTCCCACCTCTATGTCGGACATATTGCCAGGGTGGCAGGGCGGCTTTTGCCCGCTTTCAAGAAAGCTTTTGCCTCTAGCACCGTGGCGGCAGGGTGGCTTTTCCTCGCTTTCAAGATCGGGATACCTCTATGTCGGACATAGTGGCAGGACGGCTTTTGCCTCTAGCGCCGGGGCAGCAGGGCGGCTTTTCCCCGCTTTCAAGATCGGGATGCCTCTATGTCGGACATAGCAGCAGGATGGCTTTTGCCTCTAGAGCCGGGGCGGCAGGGTGGCTTTTGCCAGCTTTCAAGAAAGCTTTCTTGAACACGGGCAAAAGCCACCCTGCTGCCCCAGCGATATGTCTGACATAGAAGCGGGATACCTCTATGTTGGACATAGCACCAGGGCGGCAGGGCGGCTTTTGCCCGCTTGCCTCACCAGCCATAAACCTCACCACACGTCACTGCCTCTGACCAACCATTGGCCCTCTTCCATGATCTTGCCAGTTGGAATTCTATGAAATGACAGATTCAGTTAGAGAATTTCTGATGCTAAAGTTATAGTAATCAATGAATGATAGGTAGAAATAGGCACAGAAAAGAAGTTGGAGAGCTGTACCCTGGCCCTGCAAGATTCCATTGTCGAAATTCAGTAGCAATAGGATTGACCTCAGCAGGCTGAACTTGGTTTGGTTTTTATAGAAATTGTAAGAAGCCTCTGGACACAAACCTTCACACATCATGCTTTCTCTCCACAGTGATTTCAATGAATTATTTCTAAATTTTCACATTGAGATTTGGGCTCTTTGGAAAAGGTTGTTTAAGGATGGAAATGAAGGCAATTTGTTTTCCAGAGGCTTTCTGTTCTCATTCTTTCTAATAATCATGCCAAATCTAGGAACCTGATAAACCTACCTTATTCTTCCGTTAAGGGTACCTGTAGCTTCCCAAGCGGCTATAGGATCAAATTGTAGCTCACTATCTTAGGAGACTGTCCACTTCTGCTATAGGAAAACCTACTGAAAATTTCTCTTGGCTTTTACCTTATTTTTGAAACAATGGGACTGATTTGCTTCATGGAAAAACCACTTGAGAAAAATGGTTTTTAATGAGGAAGGACTGCAGATGTAAAGTGTATTGATCTTGGGCTTGTGAGAATTATGGTTCAAACATCTGGAGAGGCAGCATTGCCTACTCTTGTCCAAAATAATTGAGACACATTAGCAAGTTGATGGGAAATTATAAGAGGCCATAAACATTTCCTACCCAAATGCTTGATGGGTAAATTAGAATACATGAAATAAAATGAAGTTTTTAATGACATGTGAGATAACTTCCACTTCTATTTTTCCAAGGTTTGGCATATGCACTCCTAGCAGGGTTGCCTCCTGTCCATGGTTTGTATTCCTCATTCTATCCAGTTCTGCTGTATTTCTTATTTGGGACATCCAGACACATCTCCGTTGGTAAGTAGAGAATGCTGTTTTAGATGCTTAATGCAGTGTTTCTCAACCTTGGCAATTTGAAGATGTCCGGACTTCAACTCCCAGAATTCCCTGGCTGGGGAATTCTGGGAGTTGAAGTTCGGGCATCTTCAAGTTGCCAAGGTTGAGAAACACTGGCTTAATGGGATCACATTTACTAGAGGTAGAACACCAATGGCACTACTAGCAATGAGCCATAGGACTAGTTTGGGAAGCCCTCAAAAGACTTACAGAAAGAGTATTAAAGAAAGCACTTATTTGGACAATTGGAAGCCGTAGCTGCACGGATATCCTTTTTAGACTTCATTTTTAAAATGTGCTGCATTTTCCAATTGGCTGACACAGTACTTTTTCCACGTTAAGCAGAAAAAGTTTTGCAAGGAGAAGAGCAATAGGGGGGAAGTGAGGAGGGCCACAACAGCGGGAAGAAGAAGTGAGGAGGGGGGATTGAGACAAATAGTTGTAGTTGTAGTTTATTTAATTTGTATGCCGCCCTACTCCCGAGGGACTCAGAGTGGCTAACAACCAAAGGGGGAAGGGGATACAAATAGGACAAAAGACAGACAGGTTAAAAAACAACAACTGTCACAACATTTCAAGTGGGGCTGGAAATTCATCAGCCCCAGGCCTGCCGGAACAACCAGGTCTTCGTGGCTTTGTGGAAAGCCTGGAGGGTGGTGAGGGTCCAGATCTCCATGGGGAGATCGTTCCAGAGGGCTGGAGCAGCCACAGAGAAGGCCCTCTCCCGGGGATTTGCCAGTCGACACTGGCTGGCAGATGGAATTCGGAGGAGGCCAATTCCTTCAGAACCCTGGGGTGTAATTCATCTGGTCCTGGTGATTTGAACTT